AAAAAAAAAAAAAAAAAAAAAGAGGTTAGACAAAGAGGAGAAAGAGAGAAAGCAAGAAAGGAAGACGAAAGAGAAAGAAAGAAAGAAAGAAAGGATCAACCACGTCCAGCTCCGGATTGCCAACTCAATGGAAAGATTCCGTATTTCTTACCGGTTTTCTGGATTTCTGGCTTTTTGCGGGGTTTCTGCTCTTCAAGGGATACTGTACTGCTGAATACAGTATTACACCTCACTACTGTGGCTACTGACTAGTTCCCTCACTAGTTCTCTGAACTGCCCTGGATTCATCTCCCTGCGGGGAAGAATCGATCATCAAATCATCCGGTCGTCTCCCCTCGTCGGAAAAGGAAAACGAGGTGGACTGGGAGGTCATTTGATCATGCGGTGATTTCATGCAAGACATCTTTAGGGTCAGACCGTGAGGTTGAACTGGTTCCTGACTCCATCTTCATCTGATTCCACATTCATCTGTTTCATCTGACTTGACATCGATTATACTATCTAACTATCTACATCTATCGATCTCATCTAATTCTCTCTCTCTCTGTCTATCTATTTGCTTGAATATTTTTTTGAATATATAGAAATCAATATACATGAAATATATATCTACTGCACTCCGACTCCGACCCATGTCTGGTACAATCGACTCATTCTATAAAAAAGTGTCTGATCATCCATCGACCGGTCTGGGCGTGATGATGTCATGTCTCCATACCGTCCCATACCGTTATCTTACCATACCACGCCAACTCCCTACTTGGTGGAGCCTGTTGCCTGTTAATCAATAGTCTTCCTCCGCCATAGTGAGGTCCTACTTATTTATCACGTCTTCCTTCCTCTTCTTCTTCCTTCTCTCTTCTTCTCATCATCAAGTCAGTCTCTCATCATTCTTATTTTCTCATGATCCCTGTCAAACTCAAGTCACAACAATCCATCCAAATGTATGGCCAAAGTTGAGTCATGGTGGATCCATCCAGGAGAATGATGATACCACCTCGGTCTGACCCACTTCCCCCCGACCTTTTCTAACCGAGTGGGTTAATGGGCAGACTTGGAAACCCTCGGTCTGGTTGTCAGACGGAACCAGTTCACTTTCAGGGATGGAACTATTCCTGGTCGGATTCGCTCGTCGTATAATACTATACTACCAGCTACAAAAACCTCTCCGTCGGCTTAAGACTCGTCTTGACAGTTAATGGATAAAAAGCCATTGGATCAACCCCTCCATCACGCATTCGCTTCGCGGCAGGCTGATCACCCTCACATTGAGGGGCAGACACACGAGCACACAACATGATTGACAGACACCTTGTTCCCAAACAGCCAAAATCACATTAATCTTATCTATCTATAAATCAAACCCGCTGAAAACAAACCGTCACAACCCCCTGTCCCTCCCGTCCCCCAAACCGAAACGTTGGATACTCAACGCGTCCCCAAACCACCAACCGATCCTCCTCCTCCCCAGTCTCCCTCGTAAACCACTGCACCAGCTCCTCCTCCGTCCAATTGCAACTCGTCACCACCAGGAATCCCCCCTTGCGCACCGTCCGTCGCGCAATCCCGGGGTACGTCTCGCAAACGCGTCGCTGGATCGTCTTCCCGCTCCCATCCTTCCGCTCAGCATCCTCCACAACCTCCTCCGACAGCGACACCGCGTCAAACGTCCCCTTATCCAACACAATATCGAATCCACCCCGACTGTAAGGGAACCAATCCACGCGAGATCGCCCCCCGCCGTTATCCGCATCAGCCAGCGCCCATCCCTCTGCGCGCAGAATATCCCACTCTTCGAACCGGATCTCTTTGCCCTCCTCCTCTTCAACTCCATCCTCCCCCTCATCCTCAGAATCGCTCAAATAAGCCTCATGCGCCCTCAGCACCTGCAACCTTCTCGCCAACTCAACACTCGCGCGGGAATAATCCACCCCCACCATCTCCCCGCGGAAATGGCCCCGTTTCCGCAGTAGCGCAAGCATGCTCCCATTACCGGTTCCCAAGTCGAGAATACTCGGCTGTTCTCTTTTCCCTTCCCCCTCCGTAGTCCCAGAGGTCCTCGTATTAACAGGCGCAAGCGGGAACTCCTCGCCCGTCAAAAACCGCAGAACTTTGTCCGGCGCGTTGTACTCTGAGAACCAGGATGTGCCGGGGTCAGAGTCGTCGTCCACGTCTTCTTGGTCATCTTCTTCTTCTTCTCCATCAGCCTCCACTTGCGTCTGATGAGCTTCGTTGGCATCCGTAGGGGTCTGTTTCTGAGAGAGGTGTGCGAGGGTGCGCGCGTAGAATGTGTCCCAGCTAGTTCAATTCGAATCGTTAGTTCTTTTCTCTTCAAGTTGAGAGTGTATCTCATCAAGCAGTCCAAACATCAACATAAACATAAGCGCGATATAAACGCAATCGCGCAAACAGGTAGAAGAAAGAGAAGAGCAGAGGGGCACAGAGCGGGGTATCTATCACTTTCAAGTCCACGAAAGAGATAATTAAATAATCACGTACTAATCCTTCGTGCCGAGTTCGCTGGGCGAGAGATGCGTGGGATGGTTTGTGTCTGTCATTTTCAATTCTCAATTCTTTTTTTATTCTTATTTAGAAAGCTGGGTTGGGTGGATGAAATGGGGGGGGGAAAGACGAGAAAAGAAAAGAGGTGATGAAAATTGAGCGGGCGGGCACTCAACTCAACTCGCTCAACTCCCCGCTCGGGACTGATTAGATTAGATTGCGTTGACCACCATTTATTTACTACTTACCGTACTACCCATCTGTGACCATGACTAGTTATAACTAGGTATGGTAACGATAACACTCTGGGAAGACTACATGGATGTACAAATACACTAATCTTATGCTCTATAGGATCAACTACAGTTGCAACTCAGTAATGAATAAGTTTCATATTCCAACCACGGGTATTCCCCTGCGATGCCAATCACCACAGTCACGACCAACTATGCAGGTATATAACGACAACAAAAATATCAAAGAGGGAATCAGACACGGTGGAAGCGAGCGGAATCATCATGCAAGACAACTCTCGTCCCCCCAGTTAACAATAATATTACATGTCCTCGGCACCCACCCCGTGCCGCTCGTCTCTTTTGAACACCGGGGACGCCAACCACCCTGAAAGAAAGCATGCAACGTCTCGGACTGTGCTGGTGCGAGACTAATAAAGAATAGATAATAAGGCCCCGTGGGCTAACGAATGTAGTAGTTTTGATGGAAGAGAACGACCGCAAGGCCCGCTTTGGTCATCGACATCATGAGAATAGAATAATAGAAATAAGAAAAAAGGAAATGAGAACGAATCGGATCACCCGTTGGGTGTCAGGCATAAGAGAAAGAGAGAGTGTGTGTGTGAGAGAGTAAAGAAAACGGAACGAAAGCGGTTCATAAGAACACGAGTCAGGATCATCGAAATCATTTCTCGGGAACGATCCCCAAGAATCGCCCGGCAAGACCACATGTCCTTCGTAGGAAGAAAGTGGACGGGCTATAGAAATTCATCAATATTTCTCATGATTATCCGTTCATTGCCCGGTGGAGGGGATCGCGGATCCACCATGGGCGACCGGAATCGCGGGTCGAGGGACCCTGGAGCCGCCAACGCGTCTGAAACCGAGGGCATCGCCGGCGCCGCTAAGAAACCCGTGGTCCGGGGCGAGAAGAGCGCGGACGGCTCCTCGGGGGCGTCGCGGACGAAGATATCCGTCTTGCCCAACGAATAGGGCCCCTGCTCAGGCGCCATCAGACTGGGCCCGAACTCCGCGCGGCCCGCGCGGAATGCTGAGTGCAGCGCGTGGAAGCTGGATTGCCGCAGGGGCAACGGTCGCGGAGACAGACTCCGCTTGTGGGACAGCGACGGGGCGAACCCCCGCCGAGGGCCCGCGGTCGGGCCGGCCGGGTCCGTGGCCGGAACGGAGAGCGAGGAGCTGGCCGCTTGCGCGTTCAGGCCCGGAAACGCGGGCTGTCCGGACCCCAGGGCGACGCTCCCGTATCGCGGCAGCGGGGGGGCATCGCCAGACGGGTCCATCCGCCCGGCCCGCGGCGGCTGGGGCTCGGAGCTGCGTCGCCCCCCGGGCATGAACGACGCCTCCGGGGCGGGTGGGGAGGCGCCTCCCCGCGCCAGGCGCGCGCGGAAGTCCGTCAGCTGGTAGATCAGGCTCATGTTCGGGCCCACCCAGCGACTGCGCTCCTTGACGAGCTCGTACATGGAGTTGAAGTCCAGATGCCGGTTCTTGTACAGGCCGTACGCGATCACGAGGGAGGCGGACCGACTGGCGCCGAGCTGGCAGTGGATCAGGACCTTCTTGCCCTGGTCGATGCGGGAGTCGATCAGCTGGCACAGTGTATACAGATCATCGAGGATCTCGGAGTTGTGGTCCCAGCCGACGTGCAGGTATTCCGGGCTGGCCGGCTCTGTCCGCGGCGTCGCGGGAGAGCTCTCGTCGCTGGGCGGGTACTCGAAGGCTGACTGGAAGGAGGCGTCCGACAAGGCCGTGGTGGGCTCCGCAATGGATGGTCGGGTTGCGCCCGCCGGCGCATGCCGCCAGGCACTCAGGACCGTGCCGGCGCCGGGGCGGTCGTTCCGGAAGGGGTTGGCGACTTCCTTGGCGACGTTGACGACGACATCGAAGTGCGACGCTTCGTCGGCGGTCGGCTCGAGGTAGAGATACACGCCCGAGTCGTAGATCCGGACGGGCCCGTTCGGGTACCCCCGCTCGTTGCGGCGCATCGACTCGCGCGAGTCGAGGTGGTCCTCTTCCTCCGCCAGCTCGTGCAGGACGGCACGGGAGCCCTCGTCGGATCGCGACGGCACCGGCGCATGGGGGTCGTCCAACGCGCCCGACCGCCGGCCGCTGCCGTGATGGGTGACGGGCCGGGGCAGCTGCATGCCCCCCTTGGGACCAAAGGACGGGGAGAAGAGGGAGGGCGACGACTCGGTATGGCGCAGGGCGTGCGGGGTCGGGGGCACCATCTCCGAGAGGTTACAGGAAAACGACCGGTCGAATCCCGGCGTGCGGATGGTCAGGTTTGCGGGCTTCCGTCGCATGCTCTTCGCCGGTGCATGGGCCGGAGACGGGGGCGCGGAGAGATGATGCTGGGAGGAGGTTTCGACGACCGAGGCCGTCGCAATCGGGGGTCGACCCGACGGGCACGGGGGAGGCATTCGCAGGGAGAGATTCTTGAGGTTCCGGGCCCGGCGGCCAGGCGAGTCCGGGCGGGTGTGCTTGGGGGCGCCGCACGACGGCGGGGGTAGGTCGTCCGCCGGAGCCGACGAGAGCGTCTGGCCCGGGAGGTGATGGTGGCGGGCGGGCGGCATGAATTTCGGGTAGGACAGGGGCATGGAGGTCGGGGATTCCGGAGACGAGCTGGGGGAGGTGTCGGGACCCGAGGCGGACGAATCGAACGTGGAGATGGTGGTGGTCGGGGAGGAGTCGGTCGACGCCGAGGTCATGGACGAGATGCTTTCGCGATGTTTGAAGGGCAGGGTTCGTCGGGTGGTATTGGAAGTAACATTCGTGGGAACCCGCAGGGGCTGGACGGTGGAGTTGTGGTCCTCTTGGGGGTGGCTATTGGGCAACCTCCCGTCGAAGACCGACATGAAGGAAGGAAAGGAGTCCGGGACCGACGGCGGACTGGTTTGGACGGGCATGGTGGACCCAGCAGGCGTTCAGATGATGGAGAACGGCAGATGGAACCCGGGGTGGCGGAAGAACGTATCGCACTTGCTACCAGCGCAAATGACCTTTTTTTTTGGTTTTCTTCCTTTGGACTCTTTCTTAATTGTTTTGACAGGATAGAGTTAGTTTCCATTGATCAACATTAAAGTGGCTTTGATGCGCCAGTGGAGAGTCACCCAAATGGGAGAAACAATTCAGCGGCGCTGCAAGGAGGGTGAAACCCAGTGGACGATCCATGTGAACTTTAATGGGATTGCCATGCAGGTATTGAATCAAGAGGAGATTGAGAGAGATGCTTGTTTCTGGGCTCCAGGGCGGATGGACAAAGGGATTGGGGAGGGAAATAGAATTGGCTAAACTCGAGCCAACACAGAGATCTAACCAGGTCCAAACATACCAAAGAATACCGTGTGAAGATGAGAGAGCAATCTGATGGTTGAGATATGTCACTCCCGGTGTGAAAGGACCGTCGTGGAAAATCTCCGAACAATGGGGCGGAGAGTATAGATAGTAGTAACGAGGAGAGAAGATAAGAATTCAAATTCAAATCCAAATGAATGAGGGAAGACAAAGAGGTCTGGCAACCAGAGATCAAGGAAAGGAAAGAAAAAGAGGAAGAATGACGGGGTATCAAAAAGGTATCTCCCCCCCTCACAGACGAGTGGAATGGGGATGTGTGAAGTCGGAAGGGAGGAAGCAGAAGAGACGAGTGGATGGACAAGTCGCTCTCGGGAGAATGACTAAGAGGGCGACATGAGCCAGTCGGTCACCGGTCAGACGTGGATCCTTGGGGGGGGGATATGGGTTGAGACCGGGGAAAGGAATGGAGGGAGAATGGAGAAGAGAAGAAAGAGAGGAGAAGAGGTGGGAGAAAGAAAGGGAGGGGAGGGAAGTTGATGAAAGAGGAGGAAAAGGGAAACTGGGAGAGGGGAGAAGAGAGAGAGAGAGAGAGAGAGAGAGAGGAAGAGAAGGAAGAATGAGGGTGAGACTACAGTGGCAGTGAGTGTGAGAGAATCCTCCCAACTGGAGATAATTCCCAAGATTATATTATAATAACCAGAAGATAATATAATCGACTGATTGATCAAGAGTTCGCGGGACAAGAGATGGAACCGCAGAGATCCAATCATCACGGCCAACGGGCTGCAGTGGAAACACTGGAAACCCTCAGCAAGCACGAGTGGACCGCCAATCAGACCTCCATTCCATCGCCTGCAGCTCTAATTTTAGCCGCCCAGAAAGAAAAAGAGAAGGAAAAGGTGCATCATGGGCGCCAAAAGCACGCAAATCAGATGCCAGATGTAGCCAACACGGATGGTCACTTTATGACCAGGTGGAAGATTCTTTTCTCTTGGACTTGATTTGGATTATAGATGGATAAACTAGGATAGAATTCACTAATTCAAATGAATAAAATAAAATGAAGAGCGATCAAATATAAAAAAAAAAGAATAGAATAAATAAATAAGATACTCCACTATGGACGCCACGCCAAATAATGATACCTTAGCGATGAGGCGGGAATCAACCAAGCAATCCAGAACATCCTCCTACAACCAATACCTAATGATCACTCAAGAAAGATAACCCAGGTCTAATAGAAAAGACTCCATATCTCAATAGATCCTATCATCCAACACTCAGTAACTAACTCTCAAAGAACTCAAGGAAAAGAATCGGAGAAAGATAGACCAACCCAACCCGGTCTAGGGCCGACTGGGATTTTCATTTGCACCGCCGATGGAGCCAAATCCACCGTCCTGTCCATCCCCCCTCAACTCCCACTCCCACTCCCACTCCCACTTCCCATATTATGTTGGACGCATTCGTCCAGTCATCAGAACACAATACTTATTTCTAGACTCCCCACAATATCCAATCACAATTAAATTTGAGAGAGAATAAAAGATAAAAAATAAAAAAAAACATGGGAATTGTACACGGTGACCACTGACTGGATCCTACAGAAATCCCACGAGGCTGCAAGTGCAGAGGCAGACGATCGAATCCCCGGCAACAAAGAAAATTCCAAATCCAGACGATCTGACCCGCTCCCCAGGGTATGACTGTGCACGGTGTCTTGGCGCCGCTCTGCTTGTTTGCTCCCCGATTCTTCGAGACGGGATTCTTAGTCTTCGGTGAACATAAGTCTTCTCAGGATCCGTATAATATACTATCCAGTACTGAAGATGGCTCTCCGTCCCAAGTCTCTTGATCAACAAGTGACAATTGATCAAGGTGAAAATAGAACAGAAAAGATGAACAAGAACATGAGAAAATAAAAATAACCAGACAGGCTAACCCGAATCGAGCGGATGAACCCCGGTTCAGAATCACGTGACACGGCCCCCAGCCCTGGGATCCAACAACCCACTGTGTCCAGTGTCCACAGACGGGTGAAAGAGACAGATGTCAACATTCCTGAGGATCATCCGATCATAATTATACCTCAATGGTCGTTGTCAACCCCAAGTCTTGTAGTCAACTCTCTACAGACTGCCGAGGAAGTCTCAAACGAGAACGAGCACAAGAATGAGAATGACGCGCCAACAGGTGAAACACACAGGGAAACACACAGGAAACCAGTAAACACCAAATCCACAGGCGCAAAGGAAGCCAAAACCAAGTGAAACACGCCAAATCCAACGCCAAGCCCACTAGCCGGCACTTTCTTCTCCTGTCAAAACAGCGAGAGAAATCGGGTCGTGATCGTCCCCTTTCTCTCCCCCCCCCCCCCGTTGATCCCTTGCCGATTTGAGGTACCAAAGAACGAAAAAGAAAAGAGGACAATCCTCAACCCACATTCTCCCTGGTGGCAAAGTCGTCCGTCTCTCCCTTCCCCATAATTTCTGCTCCCACCGCATTACTCCATATAAGGCAGTTCGAAAGATGGTCAATAGTCAATTACATCATATTTCACAGATCAACGAAGATGGAATGGAATGGATTCGAATCAGAAACCCGCCGTTGAAACATGAAACTGGAAAAAACTTGACCGACCCCCTGGGGCTAACACCAACAGACTACCTCAGCGAGTTAGTACTCCGTAGAGTTGACCAATCTATCTCAAATATCTCTGACCATTCCACGTGCAAACGAACCCACCACCAAACTGAACTTGGACCTCCAGTTCAAGTCTCGTTTCGGGTTCAGGGAACGGCTCCTCCCCCCCCTTTAGCCCTCGTTAGCGCCGGACCCCCGGTTGAGGCGGGTGCTGAAACGTGAAACTCCTGGGAAGCTGAAAACTGAAACCTTTCCCCTCATCCATGATGTATGAGATTAAAACCGTGATGGGTGTGTGTTGTCTGCTGAAACGGTCTTGTCCCGGCGCCAATAGCTCGTCCCTGGTTGGCTCTCGGGGGGGCGTCGCCGATGCCGCTGGTCGTCACACGACTGGAGCTTAATATAGTATCACGGACGCTTGTGGGAGGGCCCTAGTATTATATTAATATTATAATATATTATTAGATCGGGTAATATAGAACATCGAAGATAGATTAAGAGCAAATTTTTGCCATACGAACAGTCACGTTATTCCCATCTGTGCACATAGGTAGAGGTCAGGACACGCATCTAATACTGCTCTCTTCTCCCCGCCTACAGTCGACCCTACCCACTATAGTGTAAAATACCAAGACAATTCCAGATAATCGCTAACACCACACAATCCCCCTAAAAACCAACATAAGACACACATACACAGCTAGCCTCAGTAATCAACCCACCTACCTGCCTAGTAATACCGCCAAGATCGAGACCAGGGGTCCAAAATACTCCCCTCCAAGCTTTTCCACATCGGATCGCGAATACAGCCAGATCGCGTAGCACCCACATTAGCCGAATAAAATCTGTCTCGTGATATATAGGTGGGTAGCGACTAGCGAGATAGTAAATTTCTTTCGTGAATTAGGCCCTTTTGACATCGAAGAATGGGATCCTTGTTGGAGTCTAGGCCTTGCGTAGGCTGGGCCTGGGAGAATTGGGAGGCTGGGGTGCGGGTGGCTTGGATCCATCGATGGATTGGTGAGTAGGTATCATAATTAGGTATTGTGCGTCTATGTCTATGCTGGGCTGGTAGTGACTGTGGAAGTCTATACTTGGATGGATGTCAATGGATGACTTGCGGTCAGCGTTGGCTCGGAATCAGGTGCACTTACTTGGTAGAGGGCATAAGAGATGACAACCCATCTATTTGTCTGGTCTATGGTTTTTTGCTGTACTGGAATGAGATATATGCTTTTTCCCCAGCGTTGATTATGACGTGGATATGCACGTCCAGTCGTGTATATAGCAGCTCGAGTGCATATCCTCATAGATTAGAGGGACGTCCATGAACCTTCCTCTTCCTCTTCCCTTCTTCCACAAAATGCATGCACTCTAGTCAAACCATCTGATCCACCCTCCACAGAAAACGTGGGACACGTCCTTCAATGCAGCGAACAGACCGTACAAAGGCAGGCAGAGCTTATTCTTCAACTTAGCTGTCAAAGACAGATGCAAAATGACATGCACACACGTGTCCTACCACCCAGTACCCTGATAATAAAAGAACCAAGTTTAATACTTCTAGTATATGCACATTTCATCCATCAATGCCCTTTCCGGCTTACGCGTGTTGTGAGAGTACACGTGCTAAGGTTCGACACGGCAGGGTGCATGATTGCTTCAGATGAACTGGCCGTGGAGTCGTGGAGTGAACAGTATGGGTGGGAGGGTTGTGCTTGCTTGTGGATAGATATCTGGTCAGACTACCTGGGCGCCGTGGGCAGATATCTGCAGTGTTGTCTTCATTGCGTGGGATGTGATGTGAGTTGGTGGTGTATTGTGTTAGACCTTGCTAATAGTATCGGTGTATTTATACTCCAGAAAAGGCTGTCTGGGAAGTTTTTTATCCTGTTGGTGGTTGGTAGTGGTGATCTTCTGATAGTCGGAGAGGACCTACATACCTCCTAGTTCTAGTCACTGGTTAGTTTTGTTGAAGTTTCTTCTCTTCGCTGGCTTGGGGACGGTTGGTCTTGTGAGGAGTTTTCTTTCTTTCTTCTTTCGTTATAGTCGTTCGTCCTATTCTTCCAAGATGACGTTGTATCACTTCTGACGACATAAATCTAGATATGTTAAACCAGTATATCAGTGCATATTGTCCTACAGCAGTCCTATTGCCATGACTGAAGTCATTTCAACGGGTGTTTCGTCCAGGACCACAAGCATATTATATCTCCATAACTGTCTGGGCTTCCATCGGTGGATAGAAAGTCGGCGGTGCATACTAGCTTTGACGAAGAAATGTAGTAGCCGCTGAAAACGTACTGATCTCCCAATGTAAAACATGGGAAATTGTGATGGATGTTGTAAAGATCACTCATTGCTATCGGGTTACTTATTATGTCCAATATATATTCACGCCCTAGGAACTTTCAGCTATCTCAATCGAACACACGATCCATCAGTGTATAATATCAACAAATCCGATTCTGTCTTGCACAACACCCGAAGAATACCACGCGCAACAATACTATGCATAAGATGACCATGATTTTGTGTGTAATGAAATCAGATGGTTCCATGCCACGAACCAACCATGGGAGATGCGAATAACGAACCATGGTTCGTGAGAGCTGCCCTGTCATTTTCTACCCGAGGACTGCGATGTCATAGGTTAATTACTCCGTTGTTTAGTTGAGTATTTCAAACAGAAGAAAGAAAACTCGGCTAAAGAAATTGAAAGATCGGCTTCATCCTGAAGAGCTGGGCACGGAAGATATATCCACGGCAAACCCTCCAATCTTCCAGCTGAGCGCACAAAGGTAGTCCTTGGATCGATATCTCATCTATCGATCATCCGATGTGAGATCACAATGATTGCCCGCTAATCTCTGTTTTTTATTATTACGGAGTATTTTCCGGACGAGCTGAACCGGACAGGACTTCAAGAGGTGCGTCTTCCACTGCAGCTCCACTGATGATCCGTTTGTTGCTTGGATAGGATCCACTTGCTCGGCACCTTCGCCTCGTCGCCAGCCACCGGTTTAACAAGACACAAACAGAGTCCTTCATTTCGTTTCACGTCTGTTTATAATTAGCACTAGGGTTAGTGTTATGACTGATCCCACTGTCAGTAATAATGGATCGTGTAAGAGACAGGAACAGGAAATCATAGTAATAATAATGGGGGGGAAAAACGCATAAAACAAAAGAGGGTAAAAATAAACAAAACAAAACAAAAGAAAGGCAGAGGACCCTTCATCTTTTTACCCATGTCCATCATTTCTTGGTTTCGCAACCAATGATAAGGTTTTCCTTTTCTTCTGCCCGTCGCCAGCTGCATCTGTCTGGACTGGATCTGGATTTGATTGATTGAAAAGTCGATGAACGAAGACATCTGGGTGCCTGACCAACTTGCAGTGACGACGCTGCTGCAGCACGCTCACGTCCCTCCTCCCACATTTTCTCCGTAGAATATCATACTCGTCGCCTCCACAGTCCTTCCTTCTCCTCTCTTTTTTCGACGTCTATATTTATTTTTAATTTTTGCACCTTCGAGGTGGAACACACAGATCATTTCTCGTCTTGAAACAGGCTATTGAGGGACGGCAGAGAGACCCGCTGCATTACTCGACCTAGCGCTGTGAGTTTGTTGAGACCGTCGTGTGAGAGATAAGCGAACGCGACAGGATCCGCGCGGGATCCAAAAGATTCGACATAGACTCGCCTTGACTTGAGGGGTTGCGACCATCAGGGAGGTGAATTGACTCGACATCGAGCTGATCCACGACGGAGCCGGGAACTAACTATGGGAGTCGATCCCCGTGACACGGCCAGAGCAGCCGCACTAACAACCACAACAAATGGGGACTTCTTCCTCTCCTCAACTCCAGCTCTCGCATCTCCGCGCCTTCCATCTTCTCCATCGCATCGGCGTCCTTCTTCTCCCCCCTCCGCCTCCACGAACAACGACTTTTTTCCTCGTGTCCCGCAGAGTCGCTTTAGTTTCGAGTACGGGAGTCCCCTGCGCAAACAGGCCTCCGTGTCGCACGCTCGTTCCACTATAGCCACGCCGTCTGGCCCAGATTCCAACCAGTCTCCCACCACCAACACCACCACCACAGACTCCACGACCACCGCCACTCCCCAGCGCTCATCCTTGTATGGCCGACACCGGCGCTCAGTCCCGAACTTGAGTTACGCTCGCACGCCGACCACCGATTTTGATTCGCTTCCCCCCTCTCCTCGTGGTACCCAAGAACCAGAGTCGGATCCGGATCGCGCGCCGCCCCCTGATTCTCGCCCAACAGTCCGGGTGCTGAGTCCCAATGCGACAAAGCGTCGTAAACAGTCCTTCTATGCCTCGCAGACGCCGGACGTGAAGAGGAGAATGCCTTCGTCCACTCTCTCGTATAGTCAAGGGAGACCCCAGGCGGGTGATCGCGCCGTCAATGGGTTCGATAAGTATGGTTCGCAGGATGGCAACGTTACTCCCATCGCGGATGATACTCGATCGAAAAATGATGACATCTTTTTGAATATCGCGAGAACGGATACGGAACGCCGTGATTCCATCGGACGGTCAGATTTCAGGAGGGTGAGTGATCCTTTGTTCCATCGTGTTTCAGGTCCATGACTCGCTCTCGAGCCATGGTAGTTGACACAGTAGACCTTTCCTCTCTCCCTCTCTCTTTCCTCTTCTTATAGTTGCCGTGTTGGCTGACAGATTGACAAACTTCAGTCGCGGTTCAGAATGTCTGGCAGTAGTCTGCGCTCCCCGACCAGCTCGCATGTAAATATAAGTGAACAAACCCCTTCGCCTGAGCAAGGGCGGATAAATTCCTACGAAAGCCCCTTGCATTCTCAAACTATTTCTTCGCAAATTCCCCTGGGTACCCTATCGAACTCCTACTCGGCTTCTGCCCACCCCCTGGACGATCACCCCCGTGCCCATCCCTCGTTTGGCAGCAGGTCCACCATCGGCCTCCCTCGCAGTCGATTAAGTCGCGCCAACGCAGACGCTTCTCCCGACTTTTCTGATTTGAACGTGGACCGGCGAGGTTCGCTCCAAGATGCTCGAGGATATCGCAATACAACGCTATCGACCATCCGTAGCAGTCGACAGGCGTCCGGTTCTGAGGCGACCGAACGCCCTCGCTTCGAGTCCGATCGGTCGCGGCATGAGGGCACGGAATCTACCTTGTCCACCACTGCCCCATCGACCGTCTGGGATGAGCTGGAAGATCTCAAATCGCGGATCAAGAAGCTGGAGGTGACGGGGAAGCTTCCCCCATCGTCCCAGGAAGCCATCTCCTCTTTTTCGGGGGACAGGCCACGAACGGCAACAACTACGGTGACAACAGTGTCCTCCCCGCCACGCCCCGGCCGCAAAGCCAGCGCACCCTCCGCAGATTTGGAATCCCCCGCCGTGCCCAATCCCGTGCACCCTATCCTGCAATCAGCCCTGTCCAAATCCAAAGCCGTGATACACAAACCGGTTTTCAGGGCCTTGGAGGCGACGGTTACGGATGCCTTGTCCCTCTCCACCCTCCTCAGCTCGGGGAAGACCGCCTCAGGCGGGGTGCCGGTTGCGAACGGCTGTGGCTCGTCGGACAGATATGCTCGGCGGAAAGCCGACAGCGTCTGCCGCGGCTTAACTGAACTGTGCCTGGCGCTGTCCGACGAGCAGATCCGCCAACAACAGGAAACATCGGACGACGAGCATACATTGACCCTCCGCACGAATGGCGCCAGCAAAGGCCCCGATGAGGGAACATCAACCCCGACCACGTCCTTCTCGCGGAGTACCAGCCAAGAACCCGAATCAATCGTCAGACGACAGAGCACCCATCGGATGACAAGTCGTCTTGAATCACGCCGGCCCAGCCTCGCGAACGACAGCAATGGCCCTTCGGCAGAGAGTAGCCCCAATATCCAGAATCAGGACACGCTGACGGATGGCAAACAAGCCCAATCTCCGAAGCCTGTACCTGCCAGTCGACTAAGCCGCCTGTCTACCTCCTTGCGGACGAGGCGATTACGGACGGAGGACGATTCGAACGATCCAGCAAGTCCGCATGCACGGTCGATATCTCGTAGCATGACGGATATCGGGAACCCACCCCCGTCGCCTCGTGAGATGCCTCCCCGCCAGGGCCTTTCACATCGATACACCACGTCGCAATCGTTCCCTGCTTCCCAACAGGAAAAGACCCCTCGCTTCTCGGCACTGTCCCAGCCGTCGCAGTTATCCCAACCGCGGACCCCGACGATTCAGACGAACCTCCCTCGGCGAAGAAGCCTTATCACCCCGTCGAATTACACCCCTGCGACGCCCCGCTCAAACATCCAAGCTGGCTCTCGCCGATATGCATATGCCAGTGCTACCCCCTCTACCGTCGGAGATGATGCTCCCATGTCTCCCCAACAGGAGCAATCTCAAACCCGAATCGTTGCTCCCTCGAGCAAGATTGCCTCGAGTTATACCCCCATCACACAAAACCGTCTTCGAACGAACAGCCTTGGGGCCCGAAAGTTTGGCATCAGGCCAACAAGACCCGTGGCCGGTGCCAACAATGTTACGAGATCCTTTGATGACAGCCTTGATTGATTGTTAATGCCCGTATTGTATGATGCACTTGCACTTTTTGGGGGCCTAGAACCCTGTCACGCCCGCGCGCCCTCACTTCACGCAGTTTAGCTACCTGATATTTGGTTGTTCTTCAGCCGGCGTTACCTTTGCTATTGTGTTCTGGCTTCTGGTGTTCTCACAAACCCACCATGCATCCGCTTGCACGTCTTTGGCATAACAGTCTTTTTTCCATGCATACTACGACCTGTGACGTATTCGATTGTCGATCCTGAATATAGGACCGCAACGCCTGCACTTGCAGCCGTAACGCACATGCACATGAGCCTACTATACGACCTATCACTTTTTTTTTTTCCTTGCGTCTCAGGAGCGCTCAATCGATTGATTGAATTTATTCCTTCCCTTTCAACACGCCTCGTCGACTTTTATATCGACTCCGGTCTGCATGTACAACAGATGTCCACGGCATAACATCATACATCCCTTGATCATGTCGATTTTCTTTCAAACGCACAAATTAGACGTTTCTGTTTCGCTGCCATTTCTGCCTTGTTTGGCCAGCTTTGTACAAAAGACCATTTTTGCTACCTTCTCGCCTTTTCTTTCTTCCTTGTCATTTTCTTTCCTTGTCTATTTTTCTTATTTTCTTACTAACCGGCCACGGACGACTGATGGATCAATGAAAAAATGGTAGCCCAAAGCGAGGAGTTTTCTTATCAATGCTGAATGCTTGACACCTACATGTCTTTGCATGTGCACTATGTTTTTTTATCCTTTCTTTCCCTTTTTCTTTCTTCCTTTCTTTTTGTGTATTACCTTGGCCTGTTGATTGAATTGATTTGTTGAGATGTTATCTTTCTTGGGTTGATATATGGTGTTGTAAGGGTGTTGTTGTTTTGCTGGAGTTTGATTTACCTTTTTTATTTATTTATCTTTGTTATTGTTACCTTTAGTGGCTTATACCTTCTGGTCCTACGCTCATTACTGGCACTTTTCATATGTTTAATGCTTTGAAGAGCGAAGAGCTACTTATCCACCTACCTCCCAGTCAATACATGGATATTTTCATATATCGCTGTCATTTACATCCATTCATCCCCCAAAACATAAAACAACCCACAATATACCATGTAGGTAGGCAGGTACGTACGTACGTACGTTTGTACCAGGTAGATAGGCGGGTATGTAACAGCCACGTCTAATAGATACATCACACACACACGCACGCACTTACGCACACACATATCACATATATACTTGACAGGACCCAACCACTTATGCAAGAAAGGAACCATGCCAGTGCGACGCGGTGGTCATATCTCCTGCCTGTCTACGGAGAACATCTATATTTATATCTCCTTCCTTCTGTCCATTGTATCTCGCCGTATGTTATTTAGTATATAGTATATACTTGGTGTATATTTGCCACCTACCTTACTTAAGTACCTACTGGTTTTGATAAATAGGTATGTACCTATTTATGTACCCTTTGCGGATGGAGGCGCGGGGTAAGATACCTAGTGAGTATATGTGGAGAAGTGTGTTATTGGTATAAAGTTTGGTAGATAGATAGGTAGGCAGGTGGTACTCTGTCGGTAGGTAGGCGTGTATTGATTTACTTTACTTTTACCATCTACTAGGGTATTAAACGGACAATTCTGGCCTGTCCATATGGGCCCATGAGGGTCATTTTTCAGCCTCTTCGGCTTTCATTTTTTCAGAATAAGTTCAATCCCGAATATACATGTCGCTTTGAAGATTGTCGGGAAACAAGACACAAATAAAAAGTGAATAATAATAATGATGATGATAGAGAAGTCGAGAAATCAAGACGGCGGGAGAGGAAGCAGGTTAAGATCCACAGGTACATACATGATTCACGTTAAAAAGCGGAAAGCGGATGTTGATGGATGAACAGTTGGTTGCTCGAGAGAAAAGTAGGACATAACAATGCGGGCGGAAGATAAGGAGTCAAGGCGGACGATTTGAGTAAGGACGTTTCAATTCGGAAGATAAGACATAAGAGGGCATAGCGGGAGCAACTTTTTTTGTTTATGAGAGTACAGTGGGACGGCGAAGGAGGAGAACAAGGGGTGGAAGAAGATGTGACGATGATAGGCAAACCCCAGTGATGGACGCCCCAGGAGAAAGCAGGGAAAGCAGGAAGACAGGAAATGGTTGACGGTTGGTACATCAGCTTGAAAGACTGGATAAGGAGGTTTCTGTTCGGATTCATTCAAAGCAAGACGATCAGTGACGACCGCTCGGTCCTGGTATCTAATAGGCAAATACAATCGGCCTCGGCAAATTCCTGCTTCTCCTAGACCAAAGAAGCCGCGCAATACGAAAGAGGGAAGAACGAAAAGAAGAAAAGAAGTAAGATGAGATCACGACACAAAAGGATTATAGGAAAAGGAGGGCATGAGGACACCCGAGACAGGGATTCAATTCCTCTCCCTCGGGTAGATTGCAGGGCCGTTTTTCACATGGTGGTACGTGATGAGCATGCACAGGAAAAGGTCGAGCGAGGTCTGGGGGAGTGCTTTATTCCTGAGGCAGCTGGCTGCGGCGGGTCTTCTCCGCCTCCAGGTTCTCGTACAGGAGATACAACGCCTTCTCATTCGCCTGGGCGCTTCCCATGATGGTGAACATGCGCTCGCCGGTGTCATCGTGGGGCGCCTTGGCGATCGAGATCCGAGCTCCAGAGCTCCTCCGGATCTCCGTGATCTTGGTACCGCCCCGGCCGATGATGCAGCCAACCATGTCCGCGGGGATGCTGATGTTCTGGGTCTGGATCTCCTCGCCATCCTCGGTGACCAGGGGAAAGCCGCGGTTGGAGGTGTCGGGGTTGGAGCGTCGGCCATAACCGCCGCCGGACTGGTCACTGAAGTCGGCACCGTTACCGGTTCGGTTGTAGGGGCGGCTGTTGTAACCGTTGTTACCGGGGCTGGTGGGGTTCGTGGGACCACCGACGTTGGCGCGCACGGCGGGGTTGTAGAGGATGGTGCCGGTTCCTCGCTGCCAGTCATCGATCAGGCACTTGCCGATTTCCCAGACAGCCTTCTCGATGCCCTCGGGAGTTCCTTGCACCTCGACAATGCGCTCGGTCGACTGGGGGAGCATTTCCTTCTGCGCGACCATGCGCACGCCCGAGGCATCCTGGATGTGCTTGATCTTAAGGCCCTGGCGTCCGATGATGGTGCCCATCTGGTTGTGGGAGATGAGGAGTCGCACCGCTGCCGAGAGACTGTTAGCCTGGTCGCCGACGGGGGTCCGTCGGGGGAGGAGATGAATTGACTTACGGTGAGTACCGTTGTTGGAGACGATGCCGCCCATGCCCATCTGGGGAGCACCTTCGAGCAAGCTCCTGGCGACGACCGCGTAGGCTCGAGCGGTGCCATGGAGAGGACCCGTGACGGTCAAGACGCGATCGTGTACACCGGGAACGACTTTGCTCACACCGGCCTTCACACCGGTCTCGTCGCGGAGATCGGCGACGTTCTTGCCGGCCTTGCCGATGATGACACCGGCCTCCTTGGAAGAAACGATGGCGCGAAGGGTGAGCATAGACTGGGCATATTCCTCCTCAGTCTTGGGAGTGACCTCCAGATCGGTCTCATCCATGGGGATGGAATCAGCCATGGTCTCGTCGACCATAGTCTCGTGGATATCGGAAGCGTCCATTATTACGATAGTGCGACGGGATCAAGTCCTGCGAAAGAGAATAAAAGAAGGATCGGTGGAGATTACTGAAAAGGTTCTATCATGGATTAGCATTGGGGTTTCGAGACCGGGATCATGAACGAGAATGACTGCGACCATTGTACAGGAGATTGCCAAGGCCCAGCCTCACCACACGAGCTGATCGAGGTGTTGGGGGAGGGGGTGAGCAAGTGGAAAAAAAAAAGAGAAACGAGGGGGAAAATGTGAGAACACGACATCGGTAGTATCACACATCAGAAAGAAAAAAGATCGACAACTTACTTGAAGAGTGGGGAATCAGGAGGGGGGGAAAAAATGAAGGCGAAGATGCGGCGGTGAATGAGGAGGGGATTATGATGCCACAGGACCGGGAGGGGAAGGCGGACGATTGGCGGAGATGAGTGAAATTCAGAGGGGTTTGGGCGGGGAGGCAAAGGTGGAGAGGGGGATAATGGGGGAGAAGGGAAGAGGAAGAAGAAGGGGAGGAGGGAGAAGAGGGGAGGATGAAGAGGAAGATGAGAAAGGATGAAGGGGGGGAGAAGACGATGAAGAGTGAAGGTGAGAGAGAGAGAGAAAGAGGAAGAAGAAGAAGAAGAAGAAGAGAAGAGGAAGAGAGAGAAGAGAACAGAGGATGAGTGAGCGGAGGAGCCTGAGGTGAAAAGAACAGAAAGAAATGAGGAAGCACGTCGAAACACTGAAAGACTGGACGGGACAGAGTGTGCCATCTCTGATTGGTTAACTGACCGGCCATTTCGGTATTGAATTACCAGGATTACACAGTGTATTCTATTGCAATAACAAACATCTACCTTACAAATTGGATTCTTTCGTTTATCTTGCTTCTTCTTAGGTCTTGCCCTTCTTCTTCCTCTTTCTCTACCTTAAGAGTCATAGTTATGTTTGTTGTTTCATGATAGGAGACTGTCTCCTGCATTGCGCCTCCCAGCAGAACCGCCTGCATTCGATTGCGCAACCTCCCGAATACCCACAGAGGATCGTAATGAATGCATGCTCCTTCATTGACCAGCCTCGAAGATGACCTTTTGGACCTTCATCGCATTGAAAATATCATAAGCCTCGACTGCCTGGGTCAAGGGCATGATCTTGTCCGTCATGAATCTATTACGGTTAGTTTCGGACAGAGCCTAGAGAGAACAAGCTATGGCAGTTATAGTGGATCGGACAGGGTCAAAAAATCAAAGATGAAAAACCAAAAAATAAAACCAAAAATAAAAATAAAAATAAAAACAAAACAAAGGTAAAATAAGCAGAAAGTCAACCAAGGATGGAGGGGGAGGGGCTCTCAATAAAACATCAACATACCCAAGTAGATGCTGGTTTCTCTTCAACACCTCCAGCGCCTGTGGCGTCACAGACTTCACAGGACAGCGCCCCATCTGGACCCGCAAGTTCTTCCCATACGCCTCATTTCCGTCCCACGGGATCTGTCATGCATGAGCATCTGTATAGAGAAGCGGAAGGGTCGGGGTGAAAATACCTCTCCATTATGCACCCCAACGCTACTGATCGTCCCCCAAGGACGTAGCAGATCAAAGCCCGTCCGCAACGCCGGACTCAACCCAACGACCTCAATCACAGCATCGGCACCTCGCCCATCAGTCAATTCTAGGACGCGCTTGTCCAGCCCCGCGCGGTCCAGCTGGAAGTTCCAGGGCTCGGCGCCCAGAGACCGGGCGAGTTCGAGGCGGGACGGGATGGAATCGACCGCTAGGAGATGCTTGGGCTTGTATTCCAGGGCGTTGATCAGGGCGCAGAGACCGACTGGCCCGCAGCCAATGAGCACGACTGTTTGATCGGCGATTTGCTCCGGGGTGTAGCCTGTGAAGGCGTTGCGGGCAGCGAAGTATCCCGTGGGGAAGATGTCTGCCATTAGGACTAGGAGCTCCTCCTTGATGCCCTCGGGGGACTTCATGACTGTCCCGTCTGCGTGGGGAATTCGGACCTGGATGGTCTGGTTTAGCTACGAGCATCACAATTAAGCCTTGATCTATGGCTGGGGAGACACACGTATTGAGCCTGGCATCCGTTCAGGTGGTCGCACCCGAATAGGGTGTTCTTCTCGCATCGCGAGGAGAAGCCTTGCTTGCAGTAGAAACACGCACCGCTACATTGTGATCAGTTCAACCTAGCTTAAGGAAAAGGTGCATGGATAGACATACCAAGACGTTGTAAAAGCGCTCACTACAATATCGCCCTTCTGCACAGACCGGACATGATCTCCTACTTCGATCACCTCCCCAGTGACCTCGTGGCCCATGATGAACCCAGATCCAGCAGGCTCAATGCCCCGAAAAGTATGGAGGTCACTGTCAGTCTAGGAGTTACTACCATAGTCCCGGAGAGTAGTATGTTACAGCACACTAAAGCAAAAACAACTAAAAGCATCAAACCTACCTCCCGCACAGCGCCGTATACCTCACCTTAACAATAACATCCTCGGGATCCTGGATAGTGGGGATCGGCCGCTCCTCAACAGTCACCTTGTAAGGCTCGTGGAACACCACGGCGCGCATTGTATTCTGTGTGGTCATTGTTGTAGATGATAGCACTTACTTTTGTCTTTGTGTTTAGATTTGTTGGCTTGCTAAGTGCAAAGAGAATATATTCTAGATTTAAAGAGATTTCACCTCCGATACACGGCGACGCCGTTGCTGCGATATGGGATGACTCGGAGTGGGGCCGAAGCCATATGGCCCACAAGCCCACACATGTACGGAGTACTCTGTAATTATCAGTCGATTTCCCCCTCGTCCGTCTATAAACATTGATCTGATTGTGTGCTGGGATTGAAATGCACTTGGCTTAGAGATATCTTCGTGGGTAGACCTCATGCTACTTTGATACCTCTTGTACCTGTCGATTTCCATCACTTATATCCCCTTGCAGAGTAAATAAACCACATGACGTAGACAAACAAGCCCGCCATATCAACCTACACACCTCTGTAACATCTAACAACAATTCCCTTAACTTCGTACCTACACACCACCTCACGCAAGTACCCATCGAACCACCACCACCATCCACTTCCCAAAGCAATCCCCAAACCCCACCCCACCCCATCAACAACAACAACTACAACAAAATGCCCTCCCTTCCCCCAACCATCCTCCTCATCTCCCTCGAACTAGAACCCTACTTCGACGACATGTACACGCCCCAAATCGACCTCCTCGCAACGCACGCAACCCTCCAACGCACCCAAACCGCAGACGTCACCCTCCGCGTCCTCACCTCACCCACCCCCCCACACGCCGTCCTCCTCACCGACGCAGCGCTCACCCAAAAAAGCCACATCCACGTATGGGACGCAGTTCTCCAATACATCCGCAGCGGCGGTACAGCCGTCTGCATGGGCCAGTTCAGCAGCTTCATCAAACCGCCTCATTTCGCGCCCTTCTTCAGCGGGGCGGGTCTTCAGTGGGATATGGAGGCGTACCTGCGCACGACGGTCTGTCTGCAGCGGGAGAATTGTCCGACGCGGTATCGCGAGACTCTTCCGGCGAGGTATAGCCAGAAGGCGGTGTTTTTGAAGAATGTGGCACCCGCGGATGTCTGGTATCGGACGGGGGAGGATTCGGTGCGGGAGTCTTTGGTGTGGAGCCCGGAGCCGGTGGGAGGGATGGGTGGTGCTGCGGTGGTGGCTGCTAGGGTTGGGGAGGGGAGGCTGGGGTATGTTGGGGATGTGAATGCGGAGGGGGAGTCGGCGGCGGTGGTTGTTGCTTTGTGTAATCTGTGAAGTTGTTGATTGTGGATTGAAGTGTGGGGGATTGCGTAACATGATGTGATGAGTGGAATCGGTGTTAGTATGGGGGAGTTCTGTAAGGCTGGAGATGAGTTTGCTGAGAAATAGTTGTATTCCAAGAGTACTCTACACGACACGACTAGAATGCTAGGTGCATCGACCAGTAGCACTCTTGCCTAATACCGAAGTTGAGAGGAGGATGTTTCCCGAACTCAAGCACCAAACTAGAGGAAACATATCGAAGTGAACCACCATCGTGCCTTCAAGGTCTGGTGTGGATTCACGGTTGAAGTCTGCCCAAACAAAGATAACGCCCTGATAAACGCCTTCCCTTGCGCCTCACTGAACACCGTAGTTAAATAATACGCTCACTATACCAATCATCAGCCGTTGAAAAGAGAGCACGATTGGAAACCGAATGGGCTCACAATAATCATTTCCGGCCAATAACCGAGATGCCTTGTCCTGTCAACCAAGATAAAACGCCCTAGGCTACCACGCAGAGGAGCTCTTCTTCCAGGATGAACTTGCCCTCTTTGTACTTTTCACTGGTCTCGTAGGCTTTATCGTACTTCCACCCCACCGTTTCCCTGCATTGCCTGCATGCGATGTCTCGAACGACGTGTTTCCCGGTGGTCATGCTGCGCTCCACCGCCTCGGATTGAGTGATGTTGACGACGCTGTTAAACAGATACGCCTTGCCATGTTGGCCGCGGAAGTTCTGCAAATACACACAAAGAGTCTGGTCAGCACTGATAGTAGATTGACTCATAATCGAAAGAATGGCACTCACCCGACTGATGATATCGTCGTAATCCGCCAGATGTGTTTTGCATTGCTTGCACCCAAAGATTTTGTTGGAAGTAAGATAGACGTTGTACGCGAGACCCATCCTGTTTGCCCGGCTTTTCCTTCCTCAACAACTTCAAGTTGGCTGGAGGTACGTCCTGCGATATGAGCTCGTGCAGATGGGGATCAGAGCACCAGGTGGTGTGATGTGAGGGTTCGGGAAATGACTGCTGTATTTGTCTTTGAGGTCCCCGCCTTGCTGCGGAGTAACTTCCTTACAAGGGGAACCTGTCTCGACCACCACCCGACCGAACCCTCTGTTTCGTGATGGGCTTGAGATGCGGCTTCGGAAATTGGGTTTGGCAGGTAGATGGCGATATTCGCTCCAGCAAAATGATCCTGTTAGATTGACTATCCTCGGTCTTATGTGGCGTTTATTACGTCGTTGCAGCAGCGTTTCGGAGACAAGCGGGAGAGGAACTCATGCACAGCACGAGATAAACACAGGGCGAGTGAAGGTAGTGGTTCCGGAACCACGCAGCGACGACAGGGGAATGATACGACAGGAACGAAGGTGGCAAAAGCCCCCAAATGATAAAAAGAGAAGAGATCTTGTTGGATGGAGACGGTAGAAGTACCCGTGGTCGTTAAGTTGGATGGAGGGGAAGAGAGAGAGAGAGAGGGAGAGAGAGAGAGAAGAGAGAGACATTAAAGGCTGAGCAAAGCGGGCGTCGAACGTCTATAATCGGGCAGCCGCCTCTCCGAGCTAAAATCCCCGCATCGGACCAGACAGTCTTCTGTTCCCCTCCTAGTTATCGGTCCGTCCTGGTTACTTTATTTCTTTCCCTTTTCACTCTCCCACATATATTACCGGCTGTTTTTAGTAAATACTGGTCTAAAGAGGAACCTGGTCCGTTATGAATCGCTTTCTTTGTCTGCCTTCTTGGACGATCTAGTCATAAATGGGCCCCAGTTCATCCGTCATCCCTTGTTGCCTTATCGGTGGTTATCGCGGACCCGCCGTAAAGAATGGATACTCAATCGCTAGTTACGGAGTACAATCTCTCTCGATTCTCGAACCTCTTCTTGTCCGACGCCATAATCCCCCGGCCGGTTGAAGACTAGTCTGTATTGTGTACCAGTAAATTATCATACCAGGTTGCACCTAAGACCAAAGAAGGTCTGAGACTTTTCCCGCCGGGGAGGGCTTTCATATGACGAGTGTCGAATTACGACATCATCCACTCCTGCTGGTCTTTCCGTAGTGGGTCTAGGTGGCTTCGAATTGAGAGGTCTCGTGATGGAACGAGTAACCATATCCCAACACTTGAAGCCAATAAGGGAAGGGAGAGGTTACAGACTCTTTCGTGGCTTATTTCCGGTGGTGCTTTTGTGCTCCCGACATGGCCAAGGATGTCTCAATGCGAGGATTCGAATGAGGGAGAGATTCGTATCATGATGGCGAAGTCTCCCTTCTCATTCTCAGAATTGGGTCTTACTGGTCTAAGTCGATATTGACATTGCTCTTGTGATCGAGAAGAGTCGAACTGATCATCCCCGAGGCTACAAGGCTAATGAGCCACCGCATCACAAGGGTATTCTACGACTAGCACATGGCCCTTTCTGCTATGAGGTACCTTTGATCACCTTCATTCTTCGCTCCGGAGGTGGTAAGGTGAGGGCCCTGAAAGATCAACCACTGTAGGTCAACGTTTACCATCCAGATTTCGGTCTGAGACTACCTCCACCTTTCCCCCAACCAGAAGCGCCGTGTCATTTGAGCCTATCCAAAATTCGCTCTATCGGCGATCCAAGAGATTGACGCTGCTTTCCCAAAAGCTCTTGCATTCGGCATGACCCCAATGATCCGCCCACCATTCCCCAAAGCTATCCTCCACACACTCGTCAACCTTGGGCAATCGCTCGTCCCGTTTCAGCCCACAAAGCGCACAGGCATGGGATGCTTTCAATGCTCCTTGACTGGCAGTAGCAGTCGTTACTCGGACGTTCTCCGCAATCACCTGAACCGGTCGCTTTCCTGAAGCTTGAAGAACAGAGTTGAAGAGCGCCGCCCGATCACGCCACAGGGTGATCACGTCCACGGCCTCTTGTCGTTCTTTGATATCCTCGTTTTTGTTGACCGTGTTGAGCTTCATGCCGCCCGGCTTCCCCGACCGCGCCGGCCCGATCCGCATGCTCTGGCTCAAAATGTTGTCCCGTTTCCAGCGCAGCGTGCGACCGGCAACCACCCGTGCTGCCGCCTTGAGAGTGTAAAAGATCAACGAGGCCAATTGTTCTAGACGTTCCTTGTCCTGCAAGTTCTTTTTGCTTTGGACGGCATCCCGTTGTAGCTGGTCTAGGAGCCGCAGGAATAACTCTAGTAAGACCGATGGCGGCGGTATGTTTGTCGGTCGAATTTGGTCGGGAGATAGAGAAGGACTGTTCGTGCTAGAAACTTGGAAAGATGGTTCGGGCTTATTGGGGGCACGAGATAGCGAAGCTCGACCACCTGTAGACTTCGGGGTAGGTTTACCCTTGGAGCCTGCTATCCGAGGGGGCTCCGAAGGTGGCCCATCGGTAAAATCACCCCACTCCTCGAAAGCGTCCTCAAAGTCCTCTTGCTCTAAGCGTTTCCCTTGCGTAGAGGGGATCGTGCGACGGGAGGGTCCATGTCTGCCTTGGACGGATCTACTAGCCCCCTCCCCAAACGACGACGGTTTATCCTCATTCGATAATGAATCAAGCAAGTCAATTTGCTTGGACGAAGTAGCTGGGCCTTTCCGCGGGACATCTTTTTTATTAGGGGGGATGTCGCAACTCCTTGGGCCGTGAGAGGCGGGGAAGCCTGCCGGAAGGCTTTGTACAGACGGGGGCTCTGGGGCTTCAAATTCGCCCCAGTCGTCACTTTCGTGACTGGAAACTGTTTCTTCGAAGCTCGCATCAAAGAGTATACCGTCGTTATCTCCGTAATGAGGAGGCTGAGCGAAACCATAAGTACTGGAAGGAGCTGCATGGCCCGTTAGCGTCCGTGGTTGGACGGGTCGCAGGGTAGATCCATCCCCGCTATGAGCAGAATTAGTAGACAAATCAAGCCCCTCGAGGTCAGGAATGAGGGAGCTGGTCTGGGGCTGATTATTTTGACGTGACGTCCCAGGAGTTTGACGAGCAGAAGCCCCAGCTCCAAACTCCGCAAACAAGTCGGCGGACATCGAATACGCAGCCGAACAACGGCAGTGGAATCCAACTTCGGTATTTCAGGATCAGCGGTCGGACGGTGGATAATGAATGACACCCAAAGGCATATCGAGAAGCGCTTTTATTCCCGCCAGGTTCGATCGCCCTTTGGACGCAAGTTGTGTGGGTGGGGTGAGCGATAGGAATGGCGCGGGAGAAAGTTGTGGTGGGCGAACCTCCGCGGCTTGTCCGTGGTCGATCGTTCCGTCATCCAGTGACCCTGTTATTACTAGTGGGGACCATCACTCCAAGCTGGATAACCTGCCCACTTGACCGGAACCCCCCCTCATTCCGTTGTCCCAAGTCATCAACGGCTCTAGACGCATAAACCCTATCTTGTTAGGGAGACCTATGGAGAAATGAGGAGCATTGAAGACGCAAGGTATCGAATATTTCCACTTCCGCTGAGTGTTTCCCCCATAGCTGACTTCCGTCCTAGGCAACGATGGAACACCTTGTTTCGCGACAATGACACGACCTCCGATCTTCGAGCCACACTGAGAACAGAACAAGGGGATACTTTTTGTAACGACGGGCTGCGGTCAATCTGTTGGAAGGCATGCGCATTTTGTAAATGTTACATGGGCTCCCATGCTTACCTGCGCGTAGGCATTTCTGCTTTTCGACAACCTTGACCGGTCACAATGGTCGCGCAAACTCGCTGAATCGCGAGGTGCCTATGTCGCACTACGGGACCATTTTTTGAAGTACATCGATCATCCGGACGATTTGCAGTCTACTGTTGATCCGCTGGCGGATGATGAACAGGTATGCTGGGCCTAATCTATTGGTGTGGGGGTTAGATGGGTTGACGGTTGTATCTCTGACCTTTGGATGCTGCAGTCCCCTTGGCAAACCCTCCGACAGGACGAGCAATTGAGAGCCGATATATCGCAGGATGTCGACAGGTGCTTACAGGAGAATTTCTTTTTCCGCGAACCCGCCACCAAGGCGAAGATGATCGATATTCTCTTTATCTACTCGAAACTGAACCCCGACCTTGGCTATCGTCAGGGGATGCACGAAATTCTGGCGCCATTGCTGTGGGTTATTGATCGCGATGCAATTGACCCAGGGTCAGTGGAGGGAGTTGAACCGACGAACGAGCTTGATGGGGTCTTACTTCAATTACTGAACGCCGATTATGTGGAGCATGATTCGTTCGCACTCTTCTGTTCGGTCATGCAGACCACCAGACTGTATTACGAACATGACAGGCACCGGTCTCCAGGGGGCCAAATGGATGTTATTCCAATTGTGAGCCAGTGTCATCGTATCCACGACGAGCTTTTGGTTACAACGGATTTGGAGCTGGCGGGCCACCTCCAGGCTCTCGAAGTCCTCCCACAAATTTTCCTTACGTGAGTGCAGAGCATGTTTCGTGTTGATGACAGATGCTGATTTACCAAAGCCGTTGGATGCGTCTCCTATTTGGTCGGGAGTTTCCATTCCAAGAGGTGCTTGTTGTTTGGGACCGGCTCTTTGCTGAGGGACTGCGGTCAGAACTCGTGGACTTCGTATGCATTGCGATGCTCCTACGGATTCGCTGGGAACGTGAGTTGTCTACACATCTTGATTCTCAGTTCTTCCTTCTCTGACAAGCTCTCAGTTTTAAGGAGCGATTCCTCAACTGTTTTAACAACACTGCTCCGCTACCCCTCTCCCCAGCCTCACGCACCACAGAGCTTTGTGCACGATGCATTGTATCTGGAACAGGACCCAACTCCCGAGAGGGGAAGTTTCATCATCGCGAAGTATTCAGGGAAACCGCCTGATCTCAACAAGCGGCTCACCTTGCTGAATGCCAAGCGGTCCCACCTCCGCGACGATCTGCAGAGCACAAGCGAGTCAACGTCTCCCTCCAGGACCCCCGCAAGGAATAGCCCGAAGAGTCTGGAAGCTTTGTTCCAGGACGTCTCGGAGGGCATCCATCGACGGACAGAAACCTGGGGCGTAGCCAAAGCTGTGCGCGGGGCCGTGAGCGAAGCTAAAAGAAACATGCAGACGATACAGGCAGAACACAGACCACCGACCACGAGGCATACGAGTATACCTGCAATGGCTACCCCTAACGAACCGACCAACGAGCAAGTACCTCAGGGGACCCGAGAACTTGTCTACTTGCAGACTAAGTTAGACGCTCTTGAGGAGAGGAATAAGATGCTTGCGAAGAAACTAAGCCATGCTTTGGACGATATTCGCTCGTCAGCCAAGAGCAGCGAGGCACAGGAGGCACCGACGGACGACTCCATGAAGAAAGCCCTTGCCGAAATCCAGTCCGTCCAGACATGCCTTGAAGACCCTACTGCTCCCCTTGAACGCGAGACGCCTCCAGCTACAAGTCTTGGTTCGCGCCCTACAAAGCAAGATTCTACAACAAGCCAACCCACGACTACCGAATCTAAGCCCAAGGGTAGAAAGAATGGGAAGGAGGATTCCGCCGTGACACCTAAACAGCCCCAAACATCAATCAAACATCATCCCAAGACCAAAGCCACGGAGATAATGCCACGACGCCCAGAATCCCGCCCACCATTGGCAGAGTCAGAGTTTTCATGGATGCTGGGTGGCAGTCAACAGATGTCGAAGTTCGTGAGCCCTGTGTCTGTCCCGCCCGAACAAAGCCGTCACGGCGAGACCAAGACCAAGAAGAATACAAAGAATTCCCTATTTGGTAATGGTGAAGAAGAACCAAAAGGCGCGAAGAAAGAACCGGATAGTCTAGCTATGGAGAGTCTTCGTGGCTCGAAAGGTCGGGACGAATAGACCGTTCCTTTCTTTTCTTTCCCTTTCTTTTTGCTTTTCTTTTTCCTTTTTTTTTTTTTTTTAATTGCCTCTACCACATTTTTTCGTTGTGTTTGCCCCTCCCATCCGATATACCCGGGCTGAAAGAGATACATACACTGCCCGCATGCTATTTCTTTTAGCCATATTGGGCTAGACACTTCATTGAAGTGCTAATGGATCAGAAGTGCAACTGAGACAGTTAATAGAATTCGGCATGATTTTTTTCTTTTTCTCGGTTAGAATATTCCATGGTTTCCTCTGGGAATAGGTGTGAAAAACACAGCACAATCCACTGTACCAGCAAGACAGTGCAGTAAAACACTCGGACCGAATGACAATGATCATGAGGCTTAGAGAAACATGGCTTAGTGACTGATCTACACCGTTGATCCTTAGGTCTGCTGTCAGATTTCTTTATCTGAATAATTATTCTAGATTAGGTTGGTTATCTGGGCTTGCGTATGAAGATCTTCACCACTGATATTCACATTCTAAGATGAACAGCTAGTGACAAGGTGTCAGACAATAAGAGAAATAATATACAAAATTCAACCAATACAATCTAATCCCAACTACTCTGGTTCCAAGCAGGAGCCTAGATCTGGTTCTCCCATTCCCGAAACCATCGACAGATCGGAGGGTACGATGTGCACCCATGGTTCTGGGTGACCGGGTTCATTCAGTAACAGTCTGTTTTCTAGGCCAAGATAGTCAATCAATTTATGGAAGGATTTTCTTTCATCCCGTCACAAACATATCCTCTTTTCTAGACCATCGTTATTTCAGCATGTTTCAGTCGGTCTGGTTGTCACCTCATTGACAGTACAGCCATCGAAAGGTATGATTGTAGGCGGGGCCAATTACATCACCACCGCCGTTCTTAAGGGACGGATCTTAAATAAGGATTTGAGTAGTGGTTGGACTAGATGCTAGTCTATCTTATTAGTTAAGTGACTGCTCATTCGTTCATAAGTTACTAGCCAAGTAGTAACTTTCATCCTCGGTTGACTCCTTCCGATTCTTTTGCTGGGAGGAGACTGAAAATTGGGGGTCCTCACCATCTGGAAGTGTTTTACCTACCTATGAGGTTCTCTTTGAAGTTTACAATAGTGCGACAGACATGTAGGATAAAGAATAAAAGGATCAATATAGAAATAAAAATAAAATAAATGAAAGTCAAAATAATAAAGAATGAAAAAATAAAAAAATCACAAGGCAGAAGAAGGGGAAAAGAAAAAAAGAAAGACGAAAGAACCGCCAACGTCACCATCAGCCAGACACTCTGCAAATCACATCTCAGCCATCTCGTTTTTTCCTCGTCCATTCAGTTGGAATTCTACCTGCTTACCAGCTACTAAGCTCACACTCTTTCTTTCCTCTCTTTTAGCTCGTCTCCACAACTGATCTCACTTCAGCATTTCCCTTCGTCTTCCCTTCTTCTTCCCTTTCTCCCCTCCTCCCCTCCCCTTCCCCTCTTAACGCCCCTCGTCGGGTCGCACTCCACTTCCGCCTATCTTTACTTTTCACAGATAAAGAGAGGGAGAGAGAGAAAGAGGACGGTTCAAAACGTCCCTGGATCATTTTTCTCATCACTCCGAACCCCTCGAAATCAAAACGCCCCGGAGAATCGCTGCGGACTTACGCATTTCTCTTCTCCAGCTTCAACGTTCTCTTCTCTTGCGCCCGGACTCAAATCCAGCTGCCTACCCCGAACCTCACCTAGCAACGAGAAAATCTTTTTTTCTTCTCTCTCCCCCCTCCCCCCACCCCGCACCTCCGCGTGCCGCGCCTCTATCGCACATACGTATGGTGCCTGTGACCTCCGCTGGCAGGTGCCGTCTCCGACTCCCCGTTCTGCAGTCTGACACCTCTGGTTGAACTCTTTCGGTCCACGACGGCTGACTTGACACAATCGATATTGCTGTTGTGTCGCGTCGGTGGACTGTCAGGAGCGGACTTGAAGAAGCAGAGAAGGGTGACCAAATAAAAAAAAAACAGACAAGAAAGGAGAGAGAAAAAAAAATCTAATAGAGTTTTTGCTCTACTAAGATCTTTTGCTACTTATCATCTCATGTAGCAATAATATCGTGTCGACCATTTCTACAACAATTTCCATTCTTTACAGATTCGCTGTGTCGCGCCGTTTTGAACCTCCTGTTCTCAAATCGGCCCGACCAGTACTGGTCGTTACCTTGTCACCTGTTGGCGAAATATGGGGTCGTCTTCATATCATCCCGATGGTGAGTCGCGCGCCCTTTCCTTAACTTTGTTCTTGCTCAGGGTCGAATCCTCCGTCGCCTTGTCTTCGGTCCTCAATGTGGTATCATGGATATGGGGACGCTATTTATCCCCAGAGAGATTTGTTATCGGATCCTGGGGAATTTCGTCATGCAAAGAGAATGAGCAAGAAAGGAACAGAAAAAAAGAAGAAGAGGTGAAGACGTGAAGAGGAAAAAAGAAGATCAACGGAGAATGGGCAGACGAATGTTTCGGAAAGTTACATGACGAGCATTTCATCCAAGATTATGATATTCAGCTCAAGGCGGCGGCCTACTGCAACCCCATTCCATACCACATTGACCCGCTTTGACGGGACGGAAGGGGCGGAAGGAATGATGCAAGAGAACGTCAGTCGCGGATTCTTGGGCTAACTTTGATTTGCGACAACTTCAGATGAAATCAGTCCCTTGTCGTCCCCGTTGGGGCCCCTTTCAGAATCACCAGACTCCGATCCATTCGTTGGCGGACCCGAGGCGCAAACGCATGAGTCAATGAAATATTCGGCGGATACAGGTCTTGAATCCCTTCCGAGGTAAGTGGATAATCTGGATAATCGGCGGGCGCCTCCTTGCGTCAAGCTGCATAGGCGATTACATAGGGTCGGGAGAAGCTGAGAGAGAACATTGTCCCTTCTGCAGATCTCCCCTACTTGAAAACGAGCATGGACTCGGCCCGTCCGGGCTAGATCGTATACGCCAACAGCCGTCTCGAGTTTTGACCCTCCCGAATCTGTCGACCTCCTCGCTGGTTCCCATTCCTCAGCATTTCCATTCGCCGTCACCACGCTCCGCCTCGTCATCCCGCGCTCATTCCACCCACCGCCCACCGAAGCAGGATGTCGGTGCGCTGGAAGACCTTCATCGATTCCCGTTAGAATCTCTACACTCCTTCTCCTTCGCGCAACAATCGGATGAACTGCTCCACAACCGCCAAAATATACTCAAGAGGTCGATTGATTTCATGCGCGACCGGTTTGGGTGGGCCGGTAGCACTTCGGGCATCCTCGACGCGCAGGCTCGCGTCAGTGGCGACTCGGAACTGCAAAGCATGGTAGATCTTCTGGCGAGATCGAACGTGCTGTCCAGAGAAGAGCGGTATGGCCATGCTGACCTGACGAGGGGCCCGTTGACAGGCCCGGCGAGCGTGGACAGCGACAATGTGTTCGATCGAGCGTTCACCGAGTCGCAGCCCCGCATGCTTCAGGATGATGAATCGTCGACGGACTATTCGATCTCTCCGACACAGTCACCGAATTACCATATCGCAAGCCAAAAGAGGGGAAGGAGGTCCATCCCCTCGCCCAGGCGCGTAAGCTTAAAACGTACACACAGCGATCTCAGTTCTGTCACTCTCGAGAGCAAGCTGATGGAGATTCTAGCACAATCCTACTCTACGACGACGGATCCATATACGTCCACCGGCTCCATCACCGCGGGGATGGGTCCCCCGGTCCCGACCCTACACACCCACAGCAGCAAGTGGAACCCCGTCTCCCAGGCCGTCTTCCGAACCGAATCCCAGGCCCCGTGGGTGATTTTGGCGGCCAACGACCTGTCATGTCTCGTATTCGGCGTCACGCAGGCCGAGCTCCGCAAACTCAGCATATTAGAAGTGGTGCAGGAAGACCGACGGGAGTGGCTCGCATCGAAGCTGCGGGACCCCGTCACCAAAGCCGCAGCGAAAGTCCAGTCGTCGGTGGACAAGTCCCGTGCCAGACCGGCAAATCCCAAATCCACGGGTTTTGGCAACGGGGTCACTGCCCAGCTGCTCGGTAAACCGTCTTCCCGAGCGAGGAGGGCCCAGACGGACGACGGATACGGATCCAGTAAACGCGTGCCGAAACAGCTCAACCACCCGGCCACGAAATCGCGCGGCGTGTTGCTTTGTGGTGACGTGGTGCCTATTCTGAAGCGCAACGGGACCAAAGGATCGGCCAGTGTTTGGGTAATGGAGAAGCGAGGTGGTTTGATCTGGGTCATTGAGGAGATCGAAGAAGACGTCGCATATGTTCAATGCGACCATTCGTGGAAGGTTGCCAACGCCCGCGGTGATGCCGATCGAATCTGGGGCCGGGGGACGGTCGAGCCTGGCAAGCCCATCACGGACTTCCTCCCCCAACTTACCCGGGAATGCCTGGATTCCGCGGTCGATAAAGGCGCGACAAGAATTCCCGGCATGAAGCAGTTTGCTGCTCGTACGTCTGCCGGATTCTGCGTTCCGACGACCGTGTCGAACGAAGGCGGCAGTTGTCTTCGAGTGTCTAGCTTTCCGCACGTCGCTGGTATGATGGTGCTGTCTTCGTCGACGCTGAAGATCATCAGCTCAAATTCGGTCTTCTCCTCCGCTCTATTTGGCCAGGAGCGGCCCGAAGGACTACATATCAACGCCTTGATACCTGGCTTCGACGAGCTTCTCAATGTGCTTACGGAAGAGGAAAAGGTTCCACTGGTGGACGGGATCGTGATCCCGGAGACCAGTTTTCGCCGGGCACGAACCCTCTCGATCCTTCGCGACGGGAAGGCCAACGTGGCCTCGGTGTTCTTGGAGCCTACCGGTCTGGCTGCCAAACACCGCGATGGTTCGACGATTTCCGTGGACGTTCAACTGCGCGTCATCAAAAGCGGAACGTTCTTCCCGAGGCAGCAACACGGAGGTTCAGGCCGGGCCAGTGGATCCGACTCCGATTATGATGAACTCGAGGCTGTGACCGAGCTGGTTTACGCACTGTGGGTCACTTACTCCCGACATATCCATTCCGCAGGACCTACGGGCAGTTCGAAGCCCTCGCAACCATCCCCCGTTCGACCCCCGGCTGTCAGCCATCGCAGTGACCTCGGGCCTGAAACATCGACCCCCGCCAACCCGGATGCTCCGCCAAAGACCCTGGAGCGGACGTCGGTGGAGACTCGGGTCCCGCTGTCGACACTGACCCAGCAGCTCAACGAAGCCGCGTCCGAACCGTTGACGGACAAGCCTGTGCAGCCAGTGCCGGAAGTCAAGCCGGGCGGGGCCAAGGAGTCACCCCAGAAAAAGTCGATCGCCGATTATGTGATCCTGGAAGAGATGGGCCAAGGCGCCTACGGTGAAGTCAAACTGGCCCGGCTTAAGAAGAATCCCGGGAAGAAGATGGTCCTGAAGTATGTGACGAAGAAACGGATCCTGGTGGATACATGGACCCGTGATCGCCGGCTGGGGACGGTCCCGCTGGAGATCCACGTGCTGAACTACCTGCGCCGAGAAGACCTTAAACACCCGAATATCGTGGCGATGGAGGGGTTCTTTGAGGACGACGTCAATTATTATATCGAAATGAAGCCGCACGGCCTTCCGGGGATGGATCTGTTCGATTACATCGAGCTGAAGGCGAACATGGACGAATCCGAGTGTCGAAACATCTTCAAGCAGGTCGTCGACGCCATCCACCACCTGCACACGAAAGCACTGGTGGTGCACCGCGACATCAAGGACGAGAACGTGATCCTGGACGGAGAGGGGCGGATCAAGCTGATCGATTTCGGGAGTGCGGCTTACATCAAGAACGGACCATTTGATGTGTTTGTGGGGACAATCGGTAAGTCATGACGCCACTGTGGCTGCACCTGCATCAATCACTGACCGTTGGCGCCTGTTGTGATTATTTAGACTACGCGGCCCCCGAGGTCCTGCAGGGAAAATCCTACCGCGGCAAAGAGCAAGACGTGTGGGCGCTGGGCATTCTGCTTTACACAATCGTGTACAAAGAAAACCCGTTCTACAGCGTCGACGAGATCCTAGACCATCCGCTGCGGGTGCCGTTTCTGCCATTCACCGAAGACTGCATCGACCTGGTGCGCAAGATGCTCGACCGGGACGTCGACAACCGACTGACCATCACGGAGGTGTTGGAACACCCGTGGATGGCGGACAGTTGAGCTGGACCCCACCATCTATACTATATACCGATAACATTTCGACCATCAACCGAGCCATTTCTTCATCTCTGATTGATTTGACAGCATCCGACTCATGCATTTCAGGCGGACGACAGCATCAGTATGAATTTTTTTCCTTTTTTTTTTTCTTCTTTATTTCTTTCAGTTTAAAGATATCACGGCTCTTATGACCAGCAACGATAGAGACTTTCAGGGTCACGGTGGGAGAAGTGGGAAGTGGGGGAGGGGGTGTGGGTGGGATGTATGATACCCGGGTATTTCTTGGACTGGACTGGATTGAACCATGGGGAGGGCGCCCTTTTGACGAGACAATGGCAATGACTTTTTGGGCGGCGTGGAGAGCAAACTAGAAAAAAAACGGTCATTGGATGGTACTAAGCAGACAGACCCTCGGGTGAGCACTGAGCAAGCAGACAGGCTGTATAGATGTGAGACGCAGAGATACCCCCGCGCCATATGATTCCAATATAGTTGGCTAGAAAGAACATTACGGAGATTTACTTAGTCCTTATTGTACCGTAGAGGTCGAGACTTCTCTCAAAGGTAAAGGTTATGTAGGCACGGACAGACGGATAAACTACTAGTTAGGCGGGAGGAGGCGATAGAATGGTTGGAGAATCAGGTCGGTAGGAAAACCCCTGCCGAGAACCGAGAACCGGCTGTGCCAGTCCGTGGAACTAACGGTATTAAACCGCTAAGATCCACAGTCGACAAGGCAAGACGAGTCGAGTTGAGCCGTAGCGGGGATAAAAGCGGGGTGTCTTTCATTCATGGGTTAGGGTCAATCAAGACACTAGGTACTAGACAGTGGACACTGGACACTGGGACAGACTCAACGGTGCCGACTGGGTGCCACTGTTCAGTGCCCTAACTTAGGTACCTAGTAAGGTAGTTGTACCTAACTTGGTAAACACTCAGGTACCAGAGTACCCCCCATACTACCCAAATAACATAGTCAGTAACCAATACTAATTCTCAAGTCGAATGATCTGCAGGGAAGCTTATCCTTTTTTGGAGATAGATGGAAGATGCTGTAGGTGGTTATATATAGAAGGCCACGCCAGACCACATCAGAGGATAATGAATTGTCTATGGGCCTTGTTTGACTCAATAATTAGGTAGGTAGAAAACGAGCGATTAGATACTACAAGTAATGAAAGAAATGCCTCAGTTTTCTGACGGTATTGTATGAGTGTTGTACCTTACCCAGGTACAGGATAAGGTAGGTGGTGTTAGTGGCTAGTCGAAGCGATAAGAGTGGCGAATGGGATGAGATTACCTTATCCATTATCCTTATCCGTTATCCCCGCAGGTGGCGCAGCATTTTATATACATGATCTTCCGTGTATTGTATTTGTTCGAGTGTTTTGTTTATTGACATATTTATTTTATTGTATTTTATTTTATTTCATTTTCATTATATTGGTTGATAATGCATTTTGAATTATCATCTCAGTCACTAGACATGGGTTATGGTTATCTAATGATACGGTGATCAAGTCGGTTGAGTTGCCATGTGGGGAACACTGGGGAATTTCATGGCTAAATCACTCACCGTGGACATTGTCGGGTTGAGGGGTAGTTTGTTCCTCGTTTCTATCTGTCTCTATTTTTGATTAGATTATTCAAATTGATAATTATATTCTGTGTGTTTCATCTTACTGTGTAGTTAACTACCTTGTACTATGATATTGTTGTATTGTTGTTTGAAGTATTATGCAGATCCATAATGATACTGATACCATGTGGGGATATCGGGATCAGATGTCTCTCTATACTTACCGCCAGTCTGAAGTATTGTCATTACCGAATACTAAGGTAGAGACTTCTACTAGAGACACAAGTGATGTGATATCAACATCGCCTGACCTCTTCTCACCTCGTCCTTCTTACTGATGACACGACCATATCTGGTCTTATTCTCCGTGACGCGAGTCCCATGGTACTCTCCCTCTTCGATTCCACTGGTTCATCCACTTCTTTTCTCCCCACACACTTCTCTTACTCTTTCATTTCTCTCTCTCTCCTCTTACTTTCACATTCACTCCTCGTTCAGCCTTTCGTCTCACGTTTCACCTCTCCTCTCCTCTCCTTTCCTCTTCTCTCCTCTCTGTTTCTCCTCCGCACAGACTCTTTCTCTCTTACTCGCCAATATCTCATCCGGTCTCTTCCTCCGTCGCTGTAAGAACCGTGTCGCCGTTCCTGGTCGCAGATCACCGGATCATTGATCAGAGTCCTCCAAATAGAGTTGCAGAATATCCCGGCCTCTCACCATGATCATCTAACAACTTCCCTTCCTCGCTGATTCTTGCGCTTTGCTTGTCCATCTAGTTGGACGATCGTTGGGTCGGTGGGGCTTCTTCTATTTTTTTTTTTTTTTT